AGACCAAAAGGAAAGTAAACTGATGCCTTTAATCTGGCAATTCAACATCTAGGAACCTATAACCAATGAACTGCAATTTTATTTCTGTAAGATGAACTATTTAATATTCATAATTGTTAAAGGAGGGGAAAAAGTAAAACCAGAAAGTCTAAATGTCTAATAATCTCAGAAAAAAATTAAATAGGATGTAAAATCATTAAAGGGAATACAATATATCCATACAAATGAAAATACAATAGAATAATAACATAAGGTACTATGTATTATACCAGTTGAGTACTCCTTACTCAAAATGGTTGGACAGAAATCTTTTGAATTTCAGTTTTTCACCTTGGAATATTTTCACAGACTTTATATTTACCTGTAGAGAATCTCAAATCAAAATCTGAAATGCCTCAAAATCCAAAATGCTCTGAAACCTGAAACTTAGATGCTTACAAAGTTTCATATCTCAGAATAAGTTCAGATTTAATGTTTTTGGATTAAGGTTCTTCAGCCTATAAGTTAAGGAAAAAACAAGAAAATATTAAATTGGAAAAGTCTTGGACATAAAAGATCTGGAATGATATACATACATGTAAAGGGTACAGGTTAGTTATATTTGGGTGGAGGAATTAAGGGTAAAGTATGCATTTGTTTCTGTGGGTTTGTGCTTCACAAATGATCTATAATAAACTTAACGGTTTTTTTCTTACAATTCACAAAATATTTTTAATTGTGAAATTTAAATTAGTTGCTAAAGAACTGAATTAACTCTATTAATCCAGTTCAATCCCCGGTACCAATAAAAAGACCAAAAAAAAAAAAAATCTATTAATCCAGTTCAATCCCCGGTACCAATAAAAAGACCAAAAAAAAAAAAAATCTATTAATCCTAGGTGTCAAATTTTACTGTCATTTGATAATATGTAAAAAAGAATGTCATTCTATATTGGTAAAATTACCTAATATGTAAAAAACACTTTTAAAAATTTCTCCTAGCCTTAATATTAATACCTTAAAATCTTAAACATTAAAATAAAATATACCTAAATAGCATTCTTTTTCTCACTGTTCTAGTTTTGGAGTGCTTCTTATCTGTATTCCCAGTTAGGTACATAACACAGTCATAAGAAAGCAGCTTTTGCACAAGTCAGAAAAGTTAAAAAAAAAAAAAAAAAAAAGCCATAAGGCTCAAGATGAGAAGCCTATTTCCTACGCTTTCAACTCTCAGAACTGAGCAAGTTAATTTATTTCTCTGACATTGTTTCTCTAGCTGTAACATATGACAATATTTCTCAAAGGTTTTATTAACACTAAGTCTCAGAACACTTGCTAAATGCTTTGTAAAGTATCTGAAAAATAGAAGGGACTCAACAAATAATGGTTGCTATTTAAGCCAGAAAGCAAGTTATTAAATAATAGAACTTGCCAAGCCTCCTGAAAACTAATATATGACCCTACACAACCTACAAGTATAGACCTCAGTTCCCTCATCTGCAGAACAGATATCATATTTAATAATCTTGCAGGTTAGTGCTAAAGATTAAATAAAATTACAAACACAAAAGCATCCTGTGTATAGTAAGTGCTCAATAAACTGTAGCTAGCATCATTATTTAGCTACAATATAAACAACTGAGGATAGGAATCAGTAATTTACCAAAATTTTTTACATATAGTGTATGTGATTCTATAAATTACCATTTAAATAAATGTTTTGCCTTTTCTTGTTTGTTTTGTTGGTCTGTGATATTAGAAATCAAAATCAGGAATACTCTTACCACTGAGCTACATTCCTAACCCTTTTTCTTTTTTGGGACAGGCCCTCACTAAATTTCACCAGTTAGGCTCAAACTTGTGCTCTTCCTGTTTCAGCCTTCTGAGTAGCTGGAATTACAGGAATTAGCCACTTTACCTGGTAAATGTATTTCTCTTAATGCCCAAATGAAGTATAAATTTCTGAAAAAAGTAAAATACATGCAAACTCTTTTAAGCACCTTGAAAAATAAAAGGGTATTTGTTACTTTTCAAAGTGAAAATGCATCATCTTTTCATCTGTTTTGATATTTTTAAGGTCTAAATAAGTCTAAAAGAATCAAAAGAGAAAATGTTTTTTTCTGCCTTTGGAATAAAGAAAAGCCTAAGTCCTTGGAGAACAGAAATGAGATTTCTTTTAATGATTTCACAACATGTCTTTATGCAATCAAAATGTAAGTGTCTTTAATTCAAAAACTCATTCAAATCTTTGATGTCTTGTATTACACCTTGGTGAGAAGCAGTATACAGTGTTCTGTAGTTACAATCAAAGACTATGGAACCACACTGTCTGGGTTCAGACCTACCTACTTAAACGACCTTTGGCAAGTTTTCACCTCTTCATGCCTGTTTTCTCAACTGGAAAAAGAAGACTGACTCTCACAGGATTGTTGTAAGAATAAATTCATTAAAACAAATTGTTCGTGATACAACACAGTTTATAGAAGATAAACAGTAAATATACACCATTTTTTCCATTTTTTAAAAATCCATTTTATTTCAAGGATTAAAAAAAAAGAAAAAGAAAACTACAACAAAAAATTTTTTCACTGTTTTACTATAGTCACCTGAAACTATGCAGATTTGCCAATATGTATCTCCTGCTTTGTGGACAATTTCAAGTCTTACCTAAGTAAGACTTATTTTGGGATACTCCTTAATATGAAAAGAAGTGTAAGAACTTCCCTGGCAGTAAAAATACAGCAATTACTCTTACAGATGATTTGAGGGTGAAAGAAATGGACTTCCTTTCTTATACTTCCTGTCATAAATTATGTCTTATTTACTAACAGAAGTTCAGAATCAAGAGTTTTATGATTTAGTCATGGCAAATACCAACCCAGCAATCACTAAATTCCCAATTAATCTCCATAATTCAACTATATTCCTTATAAGAAAAAAGTTCATCACTCTTCAATTAAAATAGTATAGTGTTAAAGTACAAATTGTAGACATACAATAGAATATCATTAGGATTAAACATAATACAGAAAGTCAAAATGTTTGAAAGTTATATATGTATTAAATACTATTTTATCAATGTACTCGAGAAGACTGTAGCAATGAACTGTTTCAATTTCAAACAATTGCCTTCTAATTCCAAAACTAGTTTCTGTCTACTTCAGGGGCCAGGATAACAAGAAACAAGTCAAATTAAAGTTGCCATTCTACTAAATCAGTGGCCACTTGTACTTCCTTGAAACACCTATACAACAGACAACTTAGATGGGACCTGTGATACCCATGTCTCACTCCTGCACCGGAAGTTTAAAGGTATGACATCCTACAACTAGACTAACTCAAGATAAGAAAACAATGTTTGGGCCAGGGATTTAGCTCAGTGGTGTAAGCACCTGCCTGGCAAGCGTGAGGTTGTGAATTCGAGCCCCAGTACCAAAAAAAAAAGAGAGAAAAAAATGTTTATTAGATCAAACACGGTGGCACCACCCCAATTTCCAAATGACTGTGATCCTAATCTTCTAATCTGGGTACAGAAAATGCTGAACATCTTCAAATTAAAAAGACATTAACCTAGAAAGTCAAAGGTTATATATCTAAGGACCACACTTCAACTTCACCAGAGGCTTAAAGATTACCTGGCTCAGCCTCAAATTAAAAGATGGATTCTAGCATCCAGCATGAAAATGGTCTCACAGTGGCTATCAGTAAGCAACATAGGCCAGATCAGACCACAGGTCACTTGGCACCTTTCACTGAGCCAGATGTTTCTCAAAGCCAAACAGCCAACCCTTGACCTGGTGGTGAACAGGATAGGCTGGTAGTCCAGAGTTACACATTCTTTCACTTACAGCTCCATTTTTAAAAATTCTTCACTGATCTGACTAGAGAAATAAAATTGTAGAAGACGTGAAGAGTTTTTAACATATAAGTGGAAAAGCCAGTATGCTTCATAGATCTAGGCATACTTGTTTGTTACATTCACCTCAAAACACCCAGATTTGCTTGTTTTGTTCTGAATACCATCTACGACTGTGTGAAATGATGGTCCATAAGACAATTTTCTTCACGATTTGCACAAATCTTAAACCTTTAGTAAGCCACTTAATTCGTTTGCATGTAAAATTTAAACATTTGCTTCTATCAAAGATATGCTAAATAAAATCTGCTATAGAAAAGAAGGAATTTGCTATAGAAACACAAACGATAATAAAGCAAAAGTTTTAACATCTAAATCAAGGATCCAAACCAAACCGACGTTAGAAGTCAAATTCATTGTAAAATCAGGCTTCAGTATTTCTGTTTGCATTTCTCCTTTGGGAAACTGCTCTAAGTCTTTACAAATGTACTTTTTCATTTGTCCTAATAGAATGGCATTCTTCCGTAATATTCCTTCTTCTGTAATATCCTAATCTTTTTTTTAAGTACTTCCAACTAGAAAAAAAGATACTCGAGCTTCAAGTCTTACAACTTCACCCTCCTCGCGGGGGTTGCAGACGGATCCACAACTTACTAGCCTCGTTGACTTTACACCACTTCTCTAAAGCTGATCATTTTTAAGGACCCGTTACTCTAGAACACCTTGGTTTTGCAGTTAGTACGGGCTACGACTCTTCCAGAGGTCCCTTTTCGAAGCCAGCCTCCCGGACGCCCCTAGGCGTCTCGGGCACTTAGCCCGCGGGCCGGACCCCCAAAGCTCCGACCCTCACCCCCCAACGCAGCCCGGCCCCCTAGCTCGCCTCCCAAACCCGGAGCGCAGCAACTGCCAGCTCCCGCGTCTCCCGAGCCCGCCCCGAACCGCCCCGCACCTCGCTGCTTCCCGGAGCCCCCCGCGGGGACCCTGGCGCCTTCCGGAGCAGGGGCGGGCGGTGCTCTCCGCCGCTGGACCGCGACTCCAGAGGCCGCGCGTCCCCCTCACAGGCCCCACCTGGGCCTCTCGCCTCAGCGACCCTCCGCGGCATCCCTTGCCCAGCTGTGCCGCCTCCGAAGAGCTGGGCAACGCGAGTCTAGGCCCCGACACTTACTCGGGAAGGTAGGTAGAAGAAAAAGAGCTCCACTTGTGTAGTGCGTAGGGCAGAAGCCGGCACTCAGGCACCGCAGCAACAGCCCCGCCAGCCGCCATTTTGTTAGCCTCGTAGCGGCCGCCGCCGACCGCGGGCCGCGCCGGGGGGAGGGAAGGGGGCGTGGTTTATTCTTAAAGGGACTGCATCGCGCGTCGCGGCCTCGGCAGCGCAGAAGCGAGCGCTTGAGTCTGCAGTCTCATTTTAGGGTTTCCCACGCTGCCTAGGCCTTGATGTCTAACTGAAGCTGGTCTGGGATGTGGTCACCTGCAGGGCTCTTCTGTGATGTCTGAAAAGAAGAAACTCAAAGACTTTCCTGATAGCAGAGGTAAAGACAAAGACGACTAGTATGAAAAGAAACAAATCGTAGTTATGGACCAGAAAGAAAAAATGAAAAGAGCAACTTGGAAATGAGATGCTTTTACAACTTTGAAAAGCATGGCCCTAGCCAGTTTATAAATCTAAGGAATTAGACAATTAGAGTGCGATTGCATATCCTTTAGTTTCTGGTGGTGTCCTGCGAGAAAAAAAAGTCTTTGTTACCCGTTCAGGGTCAGATGGAGACAGGAAAAGGAAATGCTACTGTATCCTTTCTGTTTCCAGCCTGTGAAATATTTCTTCATCATAAAAATTTCTTGTGAGCCTTTCCTGATAATCTTGGGGTACTGGTTTGCCAAAAAATTCCTTGGGAAGCTGTGTGTCACTTTCCCAGTTGGAGCTGCCCACTACTAACTGTGACAAGAATGAATCCCAAAATTCAGAGAAAGAGATCTCTTGGGCGCTGGGGCTCCAACCACCATAAGGGCACCATCCACCATAAGGGCATCATCCGAGCTCCTTATTAAACAAAATAGAGCAAACAAACAAAAACAGTTGGTTTAAATATCTGGCAACTTTAAATGTTCCCATTAAATACTTCTTTATCAGGATCATACATATTTATTTCGTGGCTAAGCAACTGCAATTACCAAAGTATTTGTCACTCATTGTCGAAGAGGTTAAGCTCCTGAAACCGAGGATGGATCATCATTTTCAGCTGATGGATGGAAAAACTCAAGCAAAGAACTTCTCGGTTAATAACTAGGTGAATCAATAATCATATTCTCCATTATGATCATAATCTGCCCCCAGACTCACTCCAGCCCAAATTTAGTTCTGGCCTCCATCAGTATATCAGATCAAGAACATCAGATAGAAAGACCATAGTGTGTAAACATTTAAAATTACCTGTGCTGCATGTATTGTGCCATGTTGGAAAAGTCTTTAATCCTTGAAGGAATCTGATAGTCCCAGTGACCTAACTAAGGAACGCCTAGGTCTGTGGGAAAGGGAAGAGGTGAATCCCAGAGATAATCCATGGTTACCTTTGGGAAAAAAATAATTTAAAGAGGAAAAATTAAGATAGAAACTCACTCTAGTTAGTATGGGGGCTCAACATTTGATAATGCCACCTCTTACCTTAATAAGTTCCTTTTTTTTTTTTCCAAGACATAGAGTTACATTTCCTGAGCAACTATTTAAGGATCACTGTGGTGCACACCCCGTTATTCTAGTTATACAAGAGGCTGAGGTGGGAGGATCTCCGATTCAAGGACAACCTGGGCAATTTAGACCTTGTCTCAGAATAAAACTGCAGAAGGATTGGGGTCTAGGGAGTGTAACTCAGTGGAAGAGCACTTGTCTAATATGTGCTAAGCTGTGGGTTTAATTCCCAACACCTCAGGGAGGAAAAAACATTAAAAGTAATATATAATTTTTTCCTAAACTTGAAACTTTACAATGATTTTGTATTTTCTTCTGAACTGCTGAAGTGCTTAACAGATGCCCTTCATTACCTAGTGTATCTCTCCAGCTCACTTTCTCTCTCTCTCTTTCTTCTCCTCCTCCTCCTCCTCAGCACTTTACTCCAGTAACCCTAAATAGCAATGGGAGTGTTGCTTTTATGTCTTTTGTTCTCTCTCTCCAGTCTTAGTCTAAATCACAGTCCTGGAATATTTTTCCCATACTAACCTTGGCTAACTCTTACTTATTCTTCAGGTTATCTTTTTTTGGGGGGAAATATTTCCTTATCACTTATTTTGAGGTTAGATAGTATTTTCTTCATTTTCCTTTAGCACTCTGTGTTTCCCCTACTTAGCTTAACAAGCATCATATTATGTTTTCATTTCTTCTTTATGTCTTTCTTCCTAAAAGATAACTCCCATAAAGATGAGTTGTGCATATGCGCTTCACAATTGTATTTGTTATAGTCTATAATACATGCTCAATAAATATTTATTGAAGAATGAATGAATGGTGTGAAAAGAGGACTTGAACTAGAGACTTATGTGTTGCAAGAGACAAAATGCCAAAACTTCGCAGACTGCAACTATGTATACCTCAGGTTAGACTGCCAGAGGGAATGTAAGACCAAGAATAGCATGGCTTTCCTATAGCACAAATTTCACAACTACAAAATAATTTAAAGTATTCCTAGCTAGGCATAATAAATAGTACTCCCCTGTAATCCAGAAGGTCAAGGCAGAAGGATCACAAATTGGATCCCAACCTTGACCATTTAGCAATTTAAGGAGACACTGTCTCAAAATAAAAAAGAAAAAAGGCTGAGGCTGTATCTTAGTGTGAAGATTCTGAATTCAATCAGTATTGCTACTAATACAGATAAAACATTCCTATGTTAACATAAATGCAGGCAAATGTATTATATGATATTGAGCCCCAAATCTGTATAAATATTAAGATAAAATTCAAATCAATTTCAGTATCTGTAGGAGGCTGCTTGAGCTGCACTAGTGGTGAACCTATGGCACATGTGTCACACTGGGCTGTTATCCCTGAAAGCTGTTAGGTTCGCCATCCCCAATGCTAGACTCTCAGATCTGTATGTACAGCTCTAGCTTCCTCTGCCTTGGGGTCTGACTTTAAGTGATGGGGTGTATTGTAAGCATATACAGGGATAGCGTGAAAACTGACAGTAGCCATATAGTCTCTCTGGTGACTTTCCATCTCAGAAATAGAGATACATTGATAGCCTTATGGAAAACATGAGGATCATCAAGGAATTATCATTATTTTAGAAATCAGCACCAACTATGGTGACGCAACAGCTTCAGCAACCTAGTCGTCTTTATCATTCCCTAGAGGCTTTTTCACTATGTTTCTCATATTAAATATTTCCCAAAAAGACTGTTTGGAGTTTTGCTGTTTACAGTCTTTTGCCGCAATGAAAATTTTTTTGAAAGACTGCGCTGACGTGCCAGGCCCTGTCCTAGATGCTGGGAAGACAGGAGTAAACAGATAAGCCTACTTTATTTACATCCTGGTAGGCAATGAATAAGCTAATTAGATAATTTTAGTCTGTGCTAAATGCTAAAAAGAAACTAAACCAGGGTAATTTTAGATTGGGTGATTAAAGGAAACTTCTCTAAGAAGGTAATGTTTGAGCTAAGATCTGTACAATGAAAAAGAGATGGCATGGATTAAGAAACATTCTAGACAGAGACTGGTACTCTGACAGACACAATGATTTATCCAAGGAGAGGTAGCTGGTCAGTAAAAAAGCCACACTCTGGTTCTAAAGTCCAACTTGTTTAATGACACTCCATTTCCTCTCGATGAGCCAATATATGGAAGAGATTTAGTAAATTGAAAATATACTATTTAAATATATGATAGTGGTCCATTGCAGTAATAATAAAGACCAAAACACGGCTGAAGTTACATGCTTTGGGGAATACAGAAATTGGCTAAGGGCAAAAGTGTGGTTTTCATTGTTAGGACAGGAATTTTAGGTTTTTCTGCTTATTAGTTTACATACTGATATAATAAAATAGCTGAGACAAGATAATTTATAAACAGCAGAAATTTATTTCTTGTAGTTCCAGAGGCTAACAGTCAACATCTACGTGCAAGCAGGTTCAGTGTCACTGAGGGCCCAGACTTTCTGCTCCCAGAAATGGTGCCTTGTTGCTACATCTTCCAGAGGAGAAGGGTGCTTCAAAGGAGAGAGGTCCTCACATGGCTAAAGAAATGGAAAGGTAAACAGAACCTAGCTAGTTTCCTTCAGAGCTTCTATAAAAATACTAGTGTTGGGAACCCTCAAGAGTCCCCCAAAAGGCCTACCTCTTTATACTGTTGCATTGGGACCAAGTACCAGCATGTCTTGGACTGAATGCAAATATTCAAACCATATCAAAGAATAAAAAAAAAACACTCAAAGTAGGCTAAAATACATTCATAGCTTTGTACATGATTGGTTAAGATAACACCCATAATTAATTGGTCAGGGAAATAAAAGCTTCAGACAGAAGAGTTTGTGAGGGTCTTGCCTTCTCTTACCAGGGCCACTCAAACTTCATGATCTCTTTAACAGCTTTCCATGATCGGGATAACTGAAGGACAACACAGCATCCAATGTGCTGTCTTCCTGGCAACCTCTGCTGTAAATGAAAAAATGTCCCTCTATATTGTGGTATTCAACCAATGAGAAAACTAATAATCAAAAACATTAGCTGTCATATATATAACTGATTTCTTTGAAGATCTGGATTTAGAACCCAAATTTCTAATTTTGAGTCACTTTTGTGTGAGGTCTTCATCTATATTATCATTCTTTAAATCCTTTATGACTAACCTAGAGTAGGTACTCAAGAAATGTTTCCTTAATTGGGTGTCTTATTTCCTCCTAAATTTCTTTTCACTTATTCGTAATTGTGTTTAAAAAATACACACATGTACACACACATACATATAGAGAGAGAGGTGAGAGAGGTGGCGTAAGGATCATCTATAAATCAGAAAGGCAGCCCAGAATTATGGGCATGATTGTTGATCCATTTTTTTGGTCAATAAATGAAGAAAATCACTAAGGAGATTAGCTAAGTGAAATTGCTCTTTATAATTCCTATCGAACTTCTCTTGCATACCAAGAATTTACATGTATTATGTCAACTCTCACAATAGCCCCAAAAGTAAACTGAGACTCTTGGAGGTAAATATTCAGCAGGTCATATATACTGTGGCTATTGTAAAATTCTCCATTGTTTATATTCCTTTTTTTTTTTTATTTTTTTTTTAATCGGTACCGGGGATCGAA